TTGTACGAGGAGACTGCTGGACAGGAGACACTGGAGGACCAAGGCAACACCGTTTACATACCAATAAGAACTGGGATCATGACCCAACGTCCAGTGGATTCCACCTACATGGTCCGATCGTCGCTTGTCGAGGGTTATATGCGCGTAGTTGAACTAGACGACTACCATTATTTCTTAATATGTACAAAAGGTCACTTGTTGGGCTTTAATGGACTCTGAATTTGGGCGTACGGCGTAATGTTGCTCTCGCCCAAGAGGTACAAGACGTCGTCGACGTCGCTGACGAGCGCGTAGAACGCGCTCACGAGGTCGATCTCGGTCGCGAGGCGTGTCACCATGAGACGTTCGCCGAGGTCGGCAAGGTAAAAGCTTTGTGTACACGGGCACGGCAGTTCGCGCCCCACGAGTCGCTGCACGAGCCGCTCGTTGCAGAGGACGCTGGGAAAAAGCTGCTCGATAGTAGCCCGACTGATGCGCAAGTAGAGCATGCCAATGCCCTTGACGAGGCTCACGTCGGTCTCGACCTCAATGTAGTCGTACGCATGGCACTCCTTGCGGATGTTGGGAAAACAGCTCGCGTACGCCTGCCAATTCGCAATGATGGCGTCGACGCCGGTGCCCGGCGCGCCAATGACCGTCGCATCGTGCGTGAAGAGCTGCCGCATGATTGCCAGTTGGTAGCGTTCGCGCGATGGGTCCTCAAGCGCGTAGCCGTGCATGAGCGCGTCGCAGTACTCGCGGCAGCGTGCGACGCCGCTCGTGGCGCCCAGCGTCGGCGCCTGCGGCGGCAGCATGATGGCCATCGTGTCCATCCGGCCCTCGAGCCGCGCCGTCTCACGCGTGAGCGCGTACACCTGCTTCTCGAGCGCGGCCATGTGCACGCGAGCCTCTTCGCGGTACCGGCGCTGGTTGTTCCGGCACTGGATCTGCCGGCGCTCGGTCGCCTTCTGCGTGCGCGGCGCCCGGCTTGTCGGCATGGCCGGCGGCAATGAAAAATGACACAGCCTGTCGACCGCCGTTTGTGCCTTTATCGAAAACGTCTCAATATAGCTACAAATCTCGCATCTGTCTCGCAACCCGCGCTGTGACGTCCAAGGAGGATGGGCAAGGATGACTCCAGCTGGTGCACTGCGAAATCTACTTCGGCGCGCACGGCGGCGAGATGTGGTGTGACAGGATGGTTCGCTGTGAGCTGCTCAGTTACGCACGTTCGTCAAGCTCAAATTGAGCGAAATTGAGCAATTTCATTGCGCATCGCCAGTCGCAGAGGCGCAAGTGATTCGTCGCGAGGCCGCAAAGCGTCGTTTGTGGTAATCATTTTAGAGAGCGATCGGGCGCTGTGGAGGAAGAGCCGGCTGGACCTCGCTGCGATTGGCTACACCCTAGCTATTCTACGACGGCGTACCTGTACAAGATACTTGCATGCTCGCCGTGGCACCGGATGGGAAAGTTACGATAAGTGCGGTTCAGCCCACCTGGGTGACGGTGACGCACCATGCAGATGCTTCAACTCATTTGACGTGCTCCTCAAGGAGCGACGGACGCAGCGGGGCAAGTGGCGCGTGCCTCTGGCTTGGGTCGACGCTATACGACACATAATCGTAGCGTGATGGGCAGCGCCGCCTTAGGTGCACGATGGCTTCCTCGCTGCTGGCCTTCGCGGCTGACCCGAACGGGTCGGCCAATGAGCGTGCTTCTAGCCTACAAACACAGAACACGTCGTACCACTTTGCGCACTAACGTCAGGCAAGCGAGCAGATGCTGGCGCTGGACACAACGGCGATATCAGGGGCACTGGAACAATTTTGCATCCGAGCTGCGGCACGAGGACCACGACAAAATAGCCTAGTTGTTTAGGATTGAAATGCCTTTGAAAACGCTATTTTGGAGCATGGGACACGAGAAGATTTGTGCGTCGGGCTCGATCGGGCGACTCGCGATCGCGATCTGATTGGTTGCGCGCTTTCGGGAAAGCACCCATTTCAAATGGCAACACAGCATGACGGCAATGTTGCATTTTGGCCCATGATTTTCCTCAATTTTTTCGATATGTAACATAAAGCGCACCATTTTTCAACGCGAAGTTCGTCGTCGAAAAGACAAAATTCCTGCAATCAAACCTTCACAATGAAAGTGACCCAAACGTTGCGACTTGAAAGACACACGACGTGTCGCGGTTGGTCGACTTGGCGTTTAGCTGCTCGTTACAACTACAATATTGTACTTCCTCCAACAATGGGCTGCGTTGGTGGTGGAAGAAATAGCTGTTTTAAACGGGCAAAATTTCAATTCCACAGCCCCATTTTCAAACAATCGTCGTGTATCCTTCCACTTCAACCGCATCTATCCACTTCAACCGCATCGTAGCCATAGTGGCGGTCCGGTCCAGCTTGTCAGCCCTGATGCCCAACACAGCCTGCTCTGCGCTGCGCACGCCCGTGAAACGCACGACCACCTTCTGGTGCGCCGTCCATCCATCCGCGAGGTCTGGCGCCTTCGACCCGATGCGCGAAATTTTGCAGCTGCAACTTCCATTGTCGGTCGGCGGCTTTCTCTACGATGCAGTCGCCATGCCGTTCTCAGCCCGCAAGTCAACCACCCGTGCCTCTGGCCAATCTTGCGCGCTTGCGTCTGTACAATCTTTGGCTCGAACGCAACAACTGCGTGTTCCGCACGGCGTTGATGCCCCTTCCCGCTGCTGCGCTCGCGATCAAAGCAGCGACTATCACGCGATTGCATATCCCGCCCTTGGCTCGTCGCGCCGCGGTGCCTTCGCTCGCCGAGTCGCTTCATGCCCTACGCGCCGACCCTTGGTGTGCTCGCTACCTCATTCCCAACTCAATCCCGAGCCCCGACCAAGCGCCCTCAGCTTGACGTACCGGCCAAACCTCAAGCGCATTAGGACGTCCACCATCTTCACTATATAATTGCATCTTCACTAACTCATTTCAACAACAACCGCATCGTATCCACCAACTGCCACACGGTGTGTCGCCGGCGGTTGCGGCGGGTGAGTCTTCGCCGTCCCGCAGCCGATCCTACAAGACGCTGCGTGATTGCCACCCGCTCTTGGATTCGAATCACGAATTTTGGAAGAAACCGCCGAAACCCGCTGCATATTTCGACTTGGCGGCCATTATCCTAGAACTATGAGCATCTACGAAGGTCAGCACAAGACGCACCCGCGCCGCCTTCAGCAGTGCCGCATCAACCAGCAAAAGTACCGTGCGCAGGCGACCGCGGCCATGGAGCGCCTTCACAATCAAGTGCAGTCGCTTCTGACCGAGACCGCGCGACTCCAGGGCCGGCTCGAGTGGCTCCACCAAGCGCCGACGCGCGGCACCGTGGTCGCCCGTGCGTTCTTTGCCGCGTTCCGGCACGGCCTCGACGGCGCCACCGCCTTTGTCCAAACCCGTATGAGCCCGACGCTGCGCTTCCAAGGCACTGGCGACCTCACGGCGTTCGTCGACCATTGGCGCCGCTATGCGCAGCTCGAAATGACGGCACGCGCGATCGAGGCGGTGTTTCTCGACGAGACGAGCGGCGAGCTCCTGCACTGCATCGGGCAGCTGCGGTTGCACCTCGACGCCAAAAGCGTACAAGGTATCTTTCCCAGCCTGCCGCTGACAAGCGCCGCCTACACGTCTTTGGTGACCGCCACCCTCGAGGTACCGTCGATATGAGATCTTATGTGGCCTTGGAGCTCAGGTGCAAGGACCGGTAGCTGCCGCTGGTTGTGCGCTTGATCGTCCACGACGATGTCGTGACGGCGGTCGACGTGGACATTGGCTGGGCATCGTGTGTCGTCCGGCGCCTGGCGTCGGCGGCGGATGCAGCCGACGTTCTGCTTGACGTCGTGCGACCATGAGATGGCTGATAGCGCCCACTCGCATCAAGCCAGACGACGCAGCAAGGCCAACCGCCTCGCTTGCACTCGACTGCGTACTAGTACTCGTATATTTACCATCACCTCACGCCATGGAGCGTCTCGGACTTGCGTCTTTGTGGTTGAAGTGGATTCTGACTTGACATTTCGAGTCTTTGTTGCGTGGCAGCTGAAATCACGCCAAAAATCCCACGAGCAGGATCGTCCCAACTAGGACCGCTGCCTGAGCTTGGCAAGCGCCGCGCTACCAGTGGGGTTGTAGTGTGCTCTGGCACTGGAGTACCTCGGCATGATCCGTGTGGCGTTGTCTCTGTTGCGGTGCTGTAGTCCATGTTTGAACCGATGCGACGACTAGAATCACGCAACACGACGAGGTTCAAAAGACGGGCTACGGCAGTGCGCGCCATCGATTAAGGTCTTATCGGCAGTCGTAGGCGGACTGCAAAAGGGGCTGCGGCGGCGAGCTCGGCGTCGGTGGGATCCAGCACGTGAGCTCGGCGTCGGGCGCGAGCTGGACGCCAGTCATGACGTCGCTGACATCGTGGAGGGAGCCCAGCAGCGTCAGGAGGCCGACTGTCATGTTCAAGTCCGTCTCGACGCGCGTCACCATGACGCGGTCGTCAACGAGCGTCATGTAGAAGAGCTGCGTGCATGGGCACACGATCTCTTGGCCGACGATGCGCTGCATGAGGGGCTCGTTCGAGAGCAGCTGCGGGCAGAGCGCGCCGACAGTCTCGCGGCCAATGCGCAGCGTGATGGTGCCGACGCCCGTGACAATGCGCGTGCTCTCGTCGACGCCGACCACGTCCCACGCCGACCCGACTTTCTGCAGCGTCCGAAACCAGCGCGCATACTGCGTCCAGTTGGAGAGGACTTTCTCGATGCCGCGATGGCCCATGACCTCGACGTCGTGGTGCATGAGGCTGCGGAGCATGGCCGATTGGGCGGTCGCCGTCGCCGCATCGTGAATGGCGTAGCCGTTCTCAAACATGAGCCAGTACTCGCGGCAGCGCGCAATGTTGTGGAGGTCCACCGAGACATACGAAGGCGGCGGGAGGCGCTGCACGGCCAGCGACAGCGAGTCGCATTGGCCTTCGAGGCGGGCTGTCTCGGTGCCAAGGCGCTCGACGGCGCCTTGGAGGAAATCGAGGCGCGCCCGGGCCTCGGCGCGGTACCGGCGCTGGTTGTTCCGGCACTGCGTCTGCCGGTGCACGCTCGGCTTCTTCCGCACCGACTTGGTCGGTGGCATTGCGATCGAGTTGCTTTCTGCGTCGTGACTTGCCCTTTGATTTTATGGAAGGTGGGATTTGTCGGACCGTATCCGGACTCTGATGTTCGACGAACTCTGCGCCATAGTTCCCATGATATATATCCTAGCAGCTTCTCCTAGTGTGTCCTACGAGTGCAGCTCGCAGCCATGCCCGTATGCACCGGTAGCTTGCCGACCAAGACGACGTTGCCTTACGTAAGCGGTTGCGTGACGCCACCTCAGTAATCACGATCCCACAAGCTGCGTGCTCAGTGCGCGACTGGTCAGAGGCCAGAACCGTCGACTGCAACTCATGCCAGGTGCAGCGCATCCCGCCACCGAGTGTGCTATTACACTGTATGTTGCCGGAGCTGTCATGTACAGTGTAAGACTTGGGTGATCGTCAGTGTCGTCAGCTCTAAGGGCTAGCTACTCTGTCGGCTGCGCCTTGGTTTACGGACCGGACAGACGCGGCTCGCATCATCCTCAATGTCGTATGCGTTGGTCAACGGCGGTTCCGAATACGTTGGCTCGAATTTAGAGAAAGATAAGTATGGGAGGTTAGCTACTGTAGATGTGGGGCGGTCCCGTGTTGTGTGGTGTGGCAAGGTCCGGGCTGTAGTACGTCCGAGGTGCCAAAGTGATCTCGCCCGACGGTGCGATCAACGCACCGTGCATGACATCAACCACGTCCTGTAGATCGTAGAGCAGCGCGACAAGGCCCCGTGTAAAGTCCAAGCTCGACTCGAGACGCGTCACACGAGTCTCGCTTGGATACGCGGGGTGGTGCGGCGCAAAGGCAAAGGTGAGCTGCAGCGGGCAGTCGAGGATGCGGCCTTCGAGCCGCGCGCGCAGACGCGGCTGCTCCAGCACGTGAGGGCAGACGCTACTGAGCGTTTCGGCGGTCACCCCCAAGCGCAGCGAGCCGCAGCTTCGCACGACGTGACCATGGTCGAGCTCCATGACCTCGGCCGTATCGAGCTGCATGTGAATGGTGGCAAACGTGTAGGCATACTGGCGGTTCTGGTCCAGGATCTTTTCAACACCCGTCGTGCCCATGACGGCTACTGTCTCGGCGAAGAGCCCTCGGATCGTCGCCACTTGGTGTGCGGCCAAGTTGGGATCGTGCGCCGCGTAGCCAGATGCCATGACGCGCCAGTAGTTGCGACACCGCTCGAGGTCGCGGCCCATCGGTCCTTGCCTCGCCTTCCACGCCAGCGTTTGCTTGTACGTCTCGACGTGGCCCTCGAGCCGTGCCGTGGTCCGCATGAGCTCAAGGACCTGGGCCTCGAGCTGCTCTTTGAGGCTCCGGGCTTGCTCGCGGTACCGTCGCTGGTTGTTACGACACTGCTCTTGGCGGCGCGCGGTCACTGGACGCTTCTTCGTCGCCACCATCCGAGTTGTTGGAGAATGACGTTGAGCGAGATCAGCTGGCCGAGATTGCGCAGCCAATAAGAATCGCGTATATTGATGAAACGGCACGTTTCGAAAAGGGGGTGCTACCACGACCCCATGAAACGACATTGCCGTTTCAAACGCTTGTGAGACTTTGACTCAGTTTCCAGCATTCCCGTAGGCTGCAGGCGCAGTAAAGAGGCTATCTATCACCTCGTGCACGAGCAAACTCGATCTTGCATATATTACATGTCGTTGCATTAGGATTGAACTACACATGTGAAAAAGCCACATTTTACGAATCGTTAATGCTGCTGCCGACGAGATCGTGCGACGGAGCCCGTTGCACAGCCAACCTTCAACCGTCATTTGCCCACGTGATACATCTTCGAAGGTTCAAGCCCGCTCACGCCATCATTGCACCTTCTGTGCAACGTAGGACACGCATGATGTGCTAAGCGCAAGGGCTAACGAAATCGAGACGACAGAGACGTCGTTTGCATGCCCGTCATGCGCATACCAAGTCGACGCTAAGCGTACGAGCACATACATCCATGTCACGAGGGGTTTCGACGTCGTATTTGGCCCTCTTCGTAATCTCAGGAGTCGTTGGCGGACGGAGAGCCAAGCGGTTGCAAACATCTTTGGCTTCGTATTCGCTTCTCCGGACGCCGCGCACGACGCGGCTGGTACTAATCATTGCAATCTCGTGCGTCCGCAAACAGCGAAAATGCAACGACCGAATAGGAACTACTCGTAACATTTTTTCCACACCGCTCTATTCGGAAGCATGAAATAAATGTCCAGCCACTTTCTCGGCGGCTGTACGTTGGGCGCGCTAGTGCTGTAGCCAAGCACAAAGTTAACCGATATTTTGTGCAGTAGGTACTATCAACAATGCTCTCTAGTCGATGACGATTGATGCGTTCAATAACGCAACAAATTGGGGCTGAACGTCACCTTATGTAAAATTTGCAGTCGCGTTCTGAGTTCTCCTGCCAGAACCGAAAGTGTGATTGCACCGTCACAATGCATATCCAAATACGATATCTCAATATATCGGATGTGAGAGGTAGGTAGAGCCAGCATCGGCCACATTTAAAACATCCAAATGTGGCACAAAGCACGTGGTCCAGCACGGTTGGCACGGACCTTGGCAACGACGACGACGCCGGCGACGACGCTCGCGAGCCGCAGCGTCCTGCAGCACCTCGTGTGCCCCATCTCCAAGCTGCCGCTCGAGCACCTCGAGGCTCAAGGCATCCTCTTCTGCCGCGAGATCCGCGTGGCGTACCCGATCCGCCATGGCATCCCGATCCTTGTGCCCACCGAAGGCCGCATCGTGCCCGAAGACGAGCCGGTGCCCTCGCTCGCCTAGCTGCGCCCATGTCTGCGCCTTCTATCGACCTCGAGCCATGCGCCCATGCCTGCCATTGAGCCATCGAAGGACCTCACGTCATGCAAATATAGAAAACAACGTCGTTCAATCATCGAGTCCTGATCGCCGACTACGTGTGCATGCGCACCGACCGCACGGGGTTGCGCCGGAGCGACGGCGTGCTGTTGGCCTCGCGCGGCTGCGTGCTGCGGTCAGGTGTCGTAAAGAGGTCGCGGGCCGCCGGCGCGTGCAGCGGCTCGTCGGCGCCGCGGCGTGCTTTGCCGGCCTTGGACGAGCTCTGGGGCGTGCGTAGTATCCGAGGCGCCGACACGGTCGTCGACGGCTCGACAAAGTTGTACCGAAGCACTTGGTGCGTCGACGTCATGAGGTCAGCGGCCGGTCCCGCGGGCGAGGCTGCGAGCGACGGGCCCACCACGAGGGCTACAAATATCAATGTTTCAACCTGCTCAACAACACTACCTTCGTACCGTTGCGGTTCTCAAGCGACGCGCCCTTTTGCGGCGTCGTCGACCAGCCAAACGCAGCGTAGTAGCGTTCTACAGCACCAGCGCATGAGACCACCGACACCTTCGCATCGAGTAGAGCGCAAAATTTGACCTTTGCGGGGCTTGGGCCCGGCCGACACGACGACTACCGGTGGCGGCGTCACGGGCTCGTCGAGGTTGAGCGTTCGCGCCGTGGCCGTGACCTTGACCGTCGCCGTCGAGCGCTTCCCCGAGTAGAGACCCGGCGCGTAGGCAGCTGCATCACTCGTGTCGGCCAGGGCTCGAAGATGGGTCGGCAATACGTCGCCGGCCGTCTGGTTGAGCTGTGTCGCTTTGAGCAGTGCTTGGAGCGCCGCATGGTTGGCCACCGACGGCAGTGCATGCGCGAGGGCATATGCTTGGTCATAGTCGCTGCGACCGAGGTAGAGACGCACGAGGAGCTCATGGTGGCGGTCGTCGGCCAAGAGAAACGCGTGCACGAGCGGCAGTTCGGTCGGCGACCAATGCAATGCGAGCACCCAGTGGCGCAAACTGTCGTTTGCGACGTGCCACGTCAGCAACTGGGGCAGACGCGCGGCGTTTTGGCGCGGAAACGCGCGGAGAAGCCGCCACGCGCCCTCGACGTCGTGCATGGCCAAGTGCAACTCCAAGAGCAAATCGACATCGTCTTCGGACGCTGGCGTCGTCGACCAGAGCTGCCACGCGAGCGACGGCTGCTGGTGCCGCAGCAGCACATGGACGAGCGCGAGCAGGATCGAGCGGTCGAGAAGGTGCGACGGCTGCAAGAGCGTCGCGGCCTCGGACGCATGCACGTTGTACTGGAGGCACCAGAGCCCGAGGATCGAGCGCGACCAGATGTCGTTCAGACCGAGCGCGGTGGCCAGGCGACGTGTCGTGGCTTGCAGCGTCGCGAGCGGCTGCGGCGCGGCCTTGGGCTTGGCGCACGACGCCAGCATTTCCAGGCCCATGAAGAGCAAGATGGCCGACGACACTTCAAGCGAGGTCGCGGTCGGTGTGTACAGGGTCTGCCACAGCGCGAGGCCGGTCGATGGCGGCGGCGAGAGCGGGGCGACCTGCGCGGCGTCGCAGATGGCGGCCAGGACCAGTGGCGCCTGCGTGTGGAAGCGGCGAGAGAGCCCGGCGGCGTCGTAGTGCACTTTGTGCAGCGCGCTCTCATCGACGAGCCACTGGCCAAACGAGAGGCGCAGCGTCGTGTCGTGCAGCGTCCGCAGGAGCTGGTCCAGGTACGAGCGGGCTTCCTGCGTCAAGGCCGCGGCTTCGGGCACGGCCAATGGCCCTGCCGCGAGTTCGAGACGGTCCGTGAGCGCCTTGAGAACATGGCGCAGACCGCGCAGCGAGCGCAGGTGCGCGCCAAGGTCCATGTTGGGCTTGCCGCCCACAAAGAGCTGGTCGAGGGCGGTCGTTGCCGTCGCGGCCAGCTCTGTCACATGCTTCGCGGCCCACGTCTGGACGGCCACGGGCTCGTTGAGGACAAACTCCTTCTTCTTGTCGAGCGCGAGGACATACGAGCCAATGATGCTCGAGAGGCCATGGTACAGGGCCACGTCCAGCAAGGCTTCACGCTGCGTGAGGCGGGGTGCGCCGGCCTCGACGTCGATGCCTGCCCGGCGGAAGATCCCGGCGGCGAAGAAGTCGGCAAAGGTGGCTTCCGGCGACTGAAAGATGCTGAAGCCATGCTCGGCGAACGTGTCTAGGACCTACATGGGCCATGAGACCGAGGTCGACGCGTCGGCCTGTACCGGCAGCGACATGGGGCGCTCTCGTTTTCTTGTTGCCAACCACCAAATCCGGACAATACTGTCATTTTGCATACCCTCTGCCAAAGCATACTTATATTCCACGCTACCTGTATCATCTAATATTAAGCAACAGCTTTGCTTTGTACTCCCTCTGCAAGCTCCCTCCGCATCTTACAATGCTGGACAGACAAGTTCATGAGACCGTCTACCTAGCTAAATAGTCCTTTTTCTAAATCGCAGCTGCTTCGATGCCCGTTCGATGGACACTCGTTTGCGCATAACCCTAAACTCTGTCGGGTGGTCCGAGAACAGGAGCCTGCGTACGACCTCGCGCGAACTATGCCTCGGCGAGTGGGGTCCACCACGGGATGGATCTCTCCGTACGCAGCTCACTCTCAACGACCAAGTGCTAACTCCCACGCATTCAGGCGTAGCGCTACGTATGCGAAGTCTTTGTGTCACATTGAAGATAACGCGGAACACGTTCATATATATAACCCTAAACTCGGCGCAGCTGCAGTAGCGGTAGCTCGCGTCGTTGCGCACGGTGTCTAAAGCTTGGCATCTGCCTCATTACCTCGTTGCTAGGTAGAAGAAGCAAGCGAGCGTACGCCCTTGTCATGCAGGCTGGAGGTGTTGCCGTCACGGGTAAGCAGGCATAGGCATGATGTTGGGATCGGCCATGCAGCGAGACGTACGACGAGCCCAAAATCAAAACGCCCGTGCATTAGAAATGCATAGGCAGTCGACGCTACGACGCGCAGAGGTTCATTACGCTACATGCAAGCGACGCTCAGGGCGCATACGCCGACGGAATCGTCGACGGGAGGTCGTTGGCGGTTGTCGCGATCGCGCACACAAAGCGCGGCGCGGCCTTGCCACACACGGCGTGAAGCATCATGTTCCACTGCGCCGTGGCGTCGTCAAAGGCAGGGTAGTGCGGGTCAAACCACGTCTCGCGGATCTTGCCAGCTTTGGCCGTCATCTTGCCGACCTTGCCGGAGAGGTCGCCGGCTTCGCACTTGGCTTCGCACTCGGCGTACGAGGCGGGCGTGCAGTTGTACGCAAAGCCAGCTTGGGCGACCGTCGCCTTGCACTTGTCATCAATGTGCTCCGAGTTGGGGCCGCAGGCGAGCGTCGGGTCGTAGTGGTTGCCAGCGATGGCCAAGCTGCAGCCGCTCGTGAACGCCGACGACGCCTTGTTGGACCACTTGGTGTGGACATGCCACGTAAACGACTCGATTGGGCCGTTGCAGTTGGCATCGGCGGCGCTCAAGGCTGTCCAGTTGGCGCTTGAGACGTCGAGGTTGGCCGTGATCGTCGCGCCGTAGCCGTGGTAGTGCACGGCGACGTGGCCAGCGACGCCGCCCGCGAGCGTCGGGTCAAAGGCGTACACAAGGCTGTGGCTCTCGGCGTAGCGGTGGTGGAGCATGCTCCAAGGGCTTGGAATTTCGAATCTGCTCGGAAGACGCCGGCTTCAACCAGCCAACGTGATTTGGATCGTATTTATACCGTAATTTTCAAATGCACCCACGATCCTCGACGCATTTTGGCCGCATGCACCGATTATCCGGATGAATACACGGTGTATTTGACCAAAAAGTCGCTTGCTTGGTCCATGGAGAAGGACCAGTCTTATTTTCATAAAACTTTCGCAAGTTTGAACCAAGTTGAATCACCAATTTCAACCAAATAGAGACTTTTCACAAGTTTCAACTGCCTTTCGACGAGCGAACTCGACGTGACGCGCCGTTCCTTGGAAGCCCAGCTTGCACAGACCGTCGAAATCACTCAAATTTGGCTGCCCCTTTCTCTCTTCGCCGTGTGACGCTAGGGCCTGGACTGCTCGAGCAACGACCCAAGACACTAGCTAAGACACGACTAGCAGACCCGTTGTTGCTGCTCCTTGCCCGACTCTTGGAGACTGGTTTCGCAGTCATTTGATTCGAGTCAGAGCCGAGTCGTGGCATATGGAGAAGGTGGATCTGAGCCGGTTGGAAGTGCACATCGGTGCATATTATGCGTCAAGTGCGCCTTGGCGTGCCTTGGACCAATGCGAGACGTTGGTGCTGGGACCTCGCTGCTCATCATGGAACTCGGGTGCAATTACTTCTTCCACGACTTGAAGTTCCGCTGTGTCGCACTGCACTTGGTTGACCTGTTCAGCTCTCAACACAGCTCAATATGCACCGTTGAAGTAGAAACTTTGCGGTACTGACCACCACCAGATGGAATCATGTGGCAGTAAGCCTGTTGCATCGAAGCGCTCACTTTTCAATTTCCAGCGCAAATGGCTACCAACAGCTCGACCAACAGCAGCCTCACGACCACGTACAGCTTTGCGGCGGCCAACAGCGGCGGCGTCACAGGTACGATTGTGGTCGCCCGCCTTGCCCAAGGCGCAACGATCACGGCCGACATCGACGTCTCGGGCGCCAATTGGACGGCGTTGAGTGCCGCCGACAAGAACTGCACTGGGCCAGTCGAGACGTTCACGTGGCACATCCACACCAAGTGGACCAACAAGGCGTCGTCGGCTTTTCTGAGCGGGTGCAGCTTGGCCAACGCTGGCAACCACTACGACCCGGCGCCGGCGTGCGGCCCCAACTCGGAGTACATTACCGCTGATACGTGCAAGGCAATTGTCGCTGAGCCAGGCTTCAAGTACGAGTGCACACCCACGACGTATGCCGCCAAGCCCAAGGCGTGCGAAGAAGGCGACCTCTCCGGGAAGCTCGGCAAGATGAGCGTAAAGAACGGCAAAATTCAGCAGACGTGGACTGACATGTACTACCCGAATGCGTCGGCCGCGACGCCGCAGTGGAACATGATGCTGCACGCCGTGTGTGGCAGCGCGACGCCCCGCTTCATCTGTGCGACAGCTGCCGGCGCCGGCAACGGGTCGGCGATCGTAGCTCCGACGACCGCGCCCGGCGCTGGTAAGACGCCAACGGCCACTTCGTCGGCGTCGACCAAGGCCACGACCGTGCTGCTGGCAGCGCTCGCGCTCGCAACTGTCCTCTTTTAACTCGACTCTGCAATATTTCTCATGTCTTAAACGTGTGTTGCGTTAAATCGACGTTAAACGCCATGCGCGTGCCACGTGATGCGTTAAATGCGTCGAACGAGTAAACCCCAACGGTCATCTCGGCTCCGACCGACAGAGCGGGCACTCGGCACTGCCGTTGAGCCAGTCGAGGACGCATTCTTCGTGGAAGACGTGGTTACATGGGAGCTTGACCACATGCATATCGGCACACTCGACGTCGTGCCAGTCGCCGAGGCAGATGCTGCAGCAGTCTTCGCTCACAACCGACGCCGTCGTCGACGCCTACATCGCCACCAGTATCACCCCCATACACGCTTTTTCACATCACGTACCTCGTCGCTACTCGCGGCAACGACAACATCTTCCAGCGCCAGAATCGCAAGCGTTCGCTTCGCGTCCAGATGCAGCTGCTCTTCCGGAAACGCCAAAAAGTGCTTGAGCATATCGTGGAGGTCCTTGAGGAGACCGGCGCGCGCGTCGCGGTCAAACTCGGGCGGGAAGCTGCACATGATTTTAACGAGCAGCTGCACAAACGCCTCGAGCGCCGCGCGTCGTTCGGCAATGATCGCGGCATTGTCCGCGCGAAAATGGCGGCGCGGGAAGGCTTTGGCCATCCCGTCTTCGAGGAGCTTGAGCGGCAGAGCGACCTTATCGGACGGCTGCCGCTTGGCACGCTGCATGAGCGACTTGAGCGTTCGTCGGAGGGCGTAAAACTCCGAGTAGCGCTTGGCAATAGTCCACTTGTGGGGCGTGCGCTTGAATGCAATGTCCATTCGATAGTACGTGACAGAGGCGTACGCTGGCCCAACGCGCGCGACGTTGGACGTCGAGACCGTCGCGAGCTCCGAGGCGACGAGCTGCGCCCGCTCGAGCCGCGCCGTGTTGGCTGCCATCGATCAAATGGCGGAGAATCGACAAGTGTAGCTACGCGGGTCAACGGCCGGCGGGTAGGTTTATATATAGACAATAGACGAGCCATGCTTCGCAGCTTCAACAAGGCAATGCCTTTGATGGGGTCATGGAGAGGGCGCAAGAGAAAGGACAGCGTTGACGTCTAGCTCTACGTTATCTACGGGACGCAGACTGGAAGGAATGAGTGCTGGAGACGGGTCGTGCGAAGGGCCGGTGGAACAGGGGTTGGTTCAACGCCTGAAACGGCGGGAGGCGGTCAATGGCGCATCGATTGCATCTCGTGATGCCCGCTGCTCACGTCGAGCGCACGTACAAGCTGTGCCCGACGCATTTCGGTAAAGGTCGACTCGGCCACCTCTATGACGCCGTTGAGTGCGCGAGGTATCCGTCCCACCTTTGTTCACTGGACCCAGCGATGGTAGCGGCACGATCGTGTCGGTCGAAGAGGTCCAGCTGCTTGTCGATGTGCCTGATGCCTTTGAATTCATTTACGCGACGATCGAGACCGAGCTCCAGGAGGTTCATCGTTCTACGCGCTCTCCCGCCCATGATGGGTTCACTAGATGGCGACGTTGCGGGACGAGCACCTCGTCGAGTACATTGGTGTCACATCTGCAGAGAAGACTCTGTACCTGGTCATGGAGCATACCGCGGGCGGGACCCTTTCCAAGTACGTTTCCTGTCCAATGGCAGATCCCATTTAAGGCGTAGAGTCCTCCAAGACTTTGGGCGTCTCCACCGGGCGATCATTCCGAGCTACGTGTACCGACTCGTGTGTGGTCTCCAAGCACTGCACACGGTACGCTGGCCATTCTAGCTCTGACGTTGAGGATGACAAGTAGCACGGTATGGTCCACGGACGGCTCTCGAGCGCCAGTGTCTTTACAGGCGCCCACGGGCATCTCAAAATCGGCAGCTATTTCCCGTCGCTTGCCACGACACAGTACATTATGGAGCACCAGTAGGCTGTGGATCTCTCTGCCGTTGCCTGTGATACGATGGCTAGTCCGATCGCCGGCAAGCTCGTGACACCGCATGTGACGTCGTTGGTCGACGGGGTGTGCCGGGACTTGCGCGCCGTCGGCTGGCTCGTTGCCGAGATGCTCATCGGAACACAAATTGTACGTGGACTCTTTGCAGCTCTTTTGAGATGGAACTTACAGCGGGGAATTCACGTTGACGTGCCGCGTATTCTCGCCATGGTCCAGGACTTTCCCTTGGAACACGCGTTTTTGTCGACACTCTTTGACGTTATCAACGATACGATGCGCTCGCAAGAGGTTGGCGATTATACGAGTACGCTCTTGGGACATGAGTACCTTCAACCGTCCACGGTGGCGCACCTCCTGCTCGAACCTGCACCGGCGCCGTACGTACTGAATACCTGAGTATCTCGATACACCGATACACTGATACTTTAATACTTTTGTAGAATGGAAGATCTGACGTTGCGGCTCGAGCTCGAGACGTGCCTCCGCCTTCGCAGCGAGCTCTCGGTCGAGGTCGAAGCGTGGATGCGAGGTCGCGAAATCGGGACTGGACTGCGGCGAGATGGGTCGCCTTAATACACTTGTAGAGTTTCAAATGACGACGGGGCGGCATCCAAAGCGCAAGGAGTGGCCGGCATCGGTCATGGACAAGCAAGTGCGACTTCGCACGCTCAAAGTACGCCTTCAGGAACTCCAAGAGCATGTGCAAAAGGAGGCGATGGCGTCCATGGTCATCTGCGGCCGCGCAACCAACACGACGGCGCTGCGTATGCTTTTGGCTTTTGAAATCTTGAAAAAATGATTCCTCGCTGCCTAGGCGCGCCCGCTGTCGACAGCGCTCGGAAGCGATCGACGGCGCAAACAGCCTTCTTGGCGCAAAATTCGTCGCGCACGAGCTTGGGCGTCGACAGCGAGGTCGACGACAGCACGTACGGCGACGACGACGAGGTTGCGTCTGGCCCCTCGCGAGCCGCGAAGCAGCATGTGCTACACCAACGCCGAGAGGTCGCGCGTCTGACATCGTCCTTTGCCGAGCATCCCGAGTCGTAGCAAGCGCCCTTGCCGGCAACTGCAAAGTCGAAGAGTGTTGGCGCCAAATACCGAAAAATAGAACTAAAAATTCAGAAAATGAAATGGAATCCCGGTCGAGAGAGCGGTCAAGTGGCAAGTTCTTGCAGGATTGCGAGTCGCAACCAAGCGGGATCGTGACGCCCCGGGCTCAGCTCTTTGCCTTGACGTGAAGGCAGGACGGCCAACCCGAGGTCGCCCAAGCATGTGCCCTGTTTCGTTGACACGCAGCGGCATCCAGCTCATGCTTGCGCAATCGACAGTACTTGGCTTTTGTATGGCATCCATTTCACGCCGTGTCCCGCGCGTGCGGATCACAAGAAAATGATGCTGGCGCGGCCTTGTCTTTGCCTCCAATTCGGCTAAATCCGAATTGGAGGCTGAGATTCGGATGATTCGCGCGTGATCCCATGGAAACGTGGTTTTTAGAAACAGGACAATGCCGAATCGTGAAGCAACTCAGATGGCGCGACCAGGCGCGTTCTTCTTCGACGTTGAAGCAACAAGGATCATCCCCAGTTTTCAATTTTCGCCACCTCGCCAACCCAACCACACTCATGCTGATGCAAGGCCCGATCCGTGTCCTCACCGAGCGCGTCATGAGCCGTGGCTTTGAGCCGACGGTCGGCCGCCTCCTCGAACAGATGCGGTCGACGGTCTCCAAGCAGCCGGGGCTTATCTCGGTCGAGACGCTCGGCGATGCCCAAGACTACCACCACCAGGTCACGATTTCGCAGTGGCGCACCCAGAAGGAATACCTTGCGTGGCGCGACTCGGAAGAGTACAAGAAGCTCTCGAACGCGCTCAGCGAGGTGCTCGACCAGCCCAACTGCAAGACGCGCATCTTGCACGCGCCGCGCGACGACATTTTCTTGCTGTAAAGCCGCCGCCAGCACTCGTATCTAATGTATTTTTCTTCCGATTTTATTCCCACGATGATACTGCTATTCCTTGGCCAACTGCGAAAACTCGCCCACGCCCTGGTATCGAGGCGCGTGGGCGCTGGAGGGATGGTGACCCTCTTGCGCAATCGGTCGACACGACGACCGACGGCTGGTTCCCTGGCTTCTTCCTCTACCGACCAGCCTCGTAGAGCTGCTGGAGCTGGTCGCAGCTCTGGTAGCTAAAACTAGTAGCTAGAGCTGGTCTGGGTTGCGATCTCGATGGGCCAAGCAAGGTACTCGGTGGCCTGCATCATCATGCCACTTGCTGATGGCGTCTCGTTAATTTCGGCATTTGCCGCGATCTTTCGTCGACCAATGGCCTTGCGTCACGCCATTTTTATGGACCAATCGGCAGACGGCATGGCACCAGAGGTCCACGTGCTGAGCGCCGCGGGCAAGCCGATCTTCTCGACCGCCGCCCAGGACGATGGCGCGCATGCGTCCATGTCGGGTCTCATCCAAGGCATCTCGAGTTTCTCCAAGGACGCACTGCGCGTCATCAAGACCAAGACGACGACATTGCACTTTCTGCCGTGCCACCCGCTGCTCTTCTTTTGCGCGCTGCCCGTCGACCATGCAGGTGGCTGCGCTTCGCCTTCGTCCATCGCTCTCGATACGATTCTATGGTAGGCCTCAATGTGCCCCGCCTCCTCCTTCTGATTCAGCACCATGTCCTCTTCTTCCTGACCGAGAACGGCCTGCGTCTCGTCGAGACCAACCCGAACTATGACCTGCGCAACCTCCTCCATGGCACCGAGGGCCTCCTCGCCTCGTTGGCGCGCATCTGGTCGTCCGCGACGTGGGCGCAGCTCGATGGCATCGGCCTCCGCGTGTGGCCGATGGCGGACGAGGCGCGTAAGACTCTGCAGCGCACCATGGACGCGCCGGGCCTGCTCTTTGGCCTCATCCTGCGCGGCGAGTACGTGCTTGCGTATCGGCAAGGTCATAAAGATCACCCGCTTCCGATCAATGGTACAAAGCTCCGCTTGGCGCGGCGACGTTGAATACTGTCGGCGCTGTAGACGTGCACGTCCTTGGCCACGTGGTCAACCACATGACGTCCTTTCGGTCCACCGAGTCGTGGACACCCATTTGCCTGCCATCGTTCAACCGTAGGTACACTTATTTCTTATATTTATCTATGATACTACATCGGTGATTGTAGTGGATTCGTCTATGCCTACATTGTCTATACCTCGGTGGACATTTGCACGATTTTGATCAGCACCAACGAGTCGCAGGACCAGTTTCACACGTTCCAGACGCTGCACAACAACCAGATCTCGCGCGCACTCATGCACTTGCTGTCATTCCAGCCACCATTGGTCGCGGACGCACCGCCGTCCCTTGCGTCGTACCTCCCACCCGCGTACGAGCCGCTTCTCGTGCACTTTGTGTACCAGCACGCACGGTCCCACGAGGTCGTCTCGCCGTCGTTTCAAGGTAGAATCTCCACGAAAACAGAATATGGGCATTGCTACACTGGTCTAGACGCGCCGGCCTTCCAAGACCCAGCGTTCCAGCGACAAGTGCTCATGCACTACCACACGCTGCACCAGCATTTGCACAGCGCTGGTCACCGCGCCGAGACGCACCGGATCGGCGTGCCCCGGGCCAAAGACGTCGCACCCGGCGCCACGACGTACTTTTTTCGAACCGACGCGCTCCTCGTAATGGGCCGGGTCTTGGAGAAGCAAGCCGGGTTCATCTACGTCTGCTGCGAAGGCCTCGTGTCGGCCGAGGACGCCGACCTTATCTGCGACCGCCTCGTTGCCCGCATTTACCAAACTGGTCTCTCTAGCCTTTGACCATTCTATGAATCAAAATCTTGAGTTGATCTATCGTGTTTGGTTCTTACTACCATGCGCGCTGCTGTTGCACCGCATGGACGCGGAAGCCGAACGATGCTTGGCTAGCAACCCTCACCTAACCTAACCCTACGCAAAACCAGCGAACATTCTAAACGTCTAAGCTTCGACCGCGACCGTCCTCGTTGGGACTTCGTCCGCAGGGCGCACTCTGCTTCTTGCAACCCATGATGGACACGATTCTGGCGCCGACGACGCTCCCGATGACACTGCCGCCGTCATCGATGAAAGCAAGCGTGTACGACTTTGACCCGGCGACGGCTGCGGGTGTGCACGGGCAGGTCATCGTACATTACAAGAAGCACGGCGCGCGCATTCACGCCCACTTGGATCTGCGCAAGGCCAACTGGACGGCCTTGAGCGCCATCGATGCCAACTGCACCGGGCCCGTCGATACATTTGGCTGGCATCTGCACACCAAGTGGACCAACGGGAACGTAACCTCGGCGTTCGGTGCTGGCTGCAGCCTCGCAGCCGCTGGCAACCACTACGACCCGAGCTTGGCCTGTGGCCCGAACTCTGAGCACCAACGAGACACGTGCTTGTCCAAGGCGCCTGGCGGTGCGTACAACTGCACCGCGGCAACGTACGCAGCCAACGCGACGGCCTGCGAAGCCGGCGATCTCTCGGGCAAATTGGGAACCATGGTCGCTCGCCATGGACACATCCGCAAGACGTGGCGCGACTGGCACTACCCGTCGCCGCACGAGGCGACGCCGCAGTGGAACTTGATGCTGCACGCCGTGTGCGGGTCGTCGACGCCTCGTTTCGTCTGCGCGGTCGCCGACAATAGCAAAGCGGCGTGGCACCGCAAGCACAAGGACGAGTTGAGCAAGGTCAACGTGGATATTGACATTGACAACGACGATATTGACGTTGACATTGACATTGACATTGACGACGACGAGCGCCACCATCGTCTTCACGATTAGAGACCTTGGATTTTTGTGAAAACTTGAACATACTACAAATCTCACTGATGTGTAAAGACGTCGAGCGTGTGAGCTATCGACTAAGGAAGGCGACGACGCGGCGGCGGCGGTGGGTAGCAGGTTGGCAACAGCGCACTGTCATAACAGAACGCGTGTCGCTGTAGTCGCTGCGAAGGGCGGCTCGGTTGTCTCTGGTTCTCGCCTTTGTGAGCATACGTCATACCAACGATACATCTTCAGGCAGTAGTGCTGGCCAAAGTCGCAAGCTCCACTCGCCGACCGAGCAGCAGTCGTAGCTTGTATTAAGTCGTTGTTTCGGCAATTCGCCAGTACCGGTAGTGCGGGAGTATTGAATTTACATATGAAATGCACCAAGCCACCGGAAAGGCCAGATGCGCCGGCTCTGATTGGACAAAGTGAACAAGGCCCGTCAAGGCCGCTCACAAGGCCACTCACAAGGCCACCCACCAGGTATCATCGATCCGCAATGGGCCGTGCTCGTGCACCCAAGAAGCTATCTCCCGCCCGGTACCGTGCACCCGTCCAAGAAGGAGCGTCGGATGCGCCTCGTCTACCCGAATGGGCAGGACGTGTGCTTGGATTGCCGCAACCCCGCACTGCTTTGCGACTAAGCTCAACCCGGCCAAGTACAAGTACGTCGCCAGCTATCTCTCGACTTGCGCCAATGGCATGCCTAGGAACACAGTCCACAGACAAGGCGACAACACGCCACAAGTGCAGCTTCCGCAAGCGCAAGCGACTAGTGGGGACGACGCGTCGCAAGTGCAGCAGCCGCAAGCGCAAGCGACTACTCAAGCAGACGCGCCCGGCGCGATACCGTCGTACGTCTTACTCTCACTTTCGATGCACTATCTCTTACGTGCTATGTGTAGAATGGTCGAGGATGCGCTCGTAGAAGGAGCGAGAGGCCACCCTGCCGTCTTTGTACAGTCTGCCCTAAAGATCCTCTCGACGCAGCAAGTGGCCATCGTGGAAATACACGCTGCCCGATGCGTCCTTGAGCCTTGGCTCGGTTCCAGACCCCGGCGCCTTTCTCTTTGGCGGCTGCGACGTCCACGTCTGGTGCCCGTTCACTTCCTACTCGCATCTCATCGACGTTGCCAATCGTGCCCGGCGTGCGGCAGCAAGTACCAACTCCGTAGCATTGCATAAACAATCCATTCATGTCATACAATTGTGCCAACTTCAGCGTGGCGCCGCCTGGAAACGCCACAGTCGCCGACACCGCAAGCTGATGCTGCGGAGTTACCGACGCAGAGTCGGCAACGGCGCGCGATGAGCAAATGGGCTACGTGTTGCTATGTGAGAGCGTGCTAGCGGACGGCGCTAGGGCGATGCGGACATTCCGCCTCTATGTAGCATGCAGCGCCTCTGGCGGCGACGGCATGGGTGGCTGGCGCTGCGCCGACCGCGCGGCCTGGTGCGCCGCGACGCTATAGAATGCCAAAGCACGCCCTTGATATTTGATCGGCATGCCCAGTATTCGATTTCAAAGGATATAAAGTCTCAATCGAGCAATGCCAGTAACTCCTTAGGTCAAAATTAAACGGCCGTTGTTGTTGTTGCTTTGTCCGTTACTCCATCGTTTCTATTTGTTGATGGACCTGCTACGAAGGCCACTGCTGCGGCAAGCGGGCGGTATCGCGTACGCGCTCACCTCGGTGCTCTTGAGCGTCTATGCGCTGCGTCTTCTCTCACCGTACCTCAGCAACGACGCTCTCTGGGCGTCCTTTGCCGAGACAGCCGTGCCGCTCGTCCAGAGCTTCAACGACGCGCTTGCGCTCTCAGCTTCTAACGTCTCGTTCAACCTCCTTGATCGCTCCGTCGCGCGCTGGCACCGCACTCGGCCATCGCAAGTGCTCGTCTCGGCCATCTACGCTCGCAAGGTGCTATTTGAAGATATGAGTGTGCCCTTGGCAGCGATATCGGCGCTTCGCACGTACGACGTGTCACGGCTGTCGTACCTCATGACGGGCTACTGCTACGTCGACCTCGCCCGACGTTGGAGCTTGGCGCACACCGACCGCCGCATGCAGCGCTGCGCTGAGCGATACACCGATAACGGCGCTGTCTACTTGGAGGCCATTTTGCGCAACGTCGAGTTCGATGAGTGGTATGCCTCGAATGCAGCATCGTTTGATGCGAGCATCGGAAATGGGGTTGCTACGTCACCTGGTGGTGACGCGTGGCTGGCGTCGCTGCACAATGACACGTGGCGCCCGCTCCCCGATGAGCTTCGTGTCTGGACCGACGCCGGGATCAAGGCCTTTACGCTGCAGTACGCCAACCGAATTCGAACTGGCATCAACGAAGGCATTGGCGTGGCGAACGCACTCGGGCTGGCCCATACGCTGTCGCTCAAGACGATTCCCAGCGCCGACATGGGCACGTTCTGGACGACGTCGTACCTCTTTGCTGGACTCCAAACCGACTGGAACGCGCTGCCGTTCAACACAAGTCTGGTTCGGTCGACGCCCAATTTCTTTGGGTTTTCATATCCGAATGTGCTGGAAGACTACAACGTCGGGTCGCCCATGAGTGCCCTCCACCGTGTGCTACATGACGACCTCGGCCCCTTTGCGTCTGTCGATCTGTACTGGGTGCCCGTGCCAGCGGCGCTGCTCGCAAGCGTACATGCTGTGCACGTGGCCGTGGGTTCGAGCCCCGTCGATGCCGCTCTCAACGCAATTCCAGACACGACTTTGCACCCGACGCCGACCAAATGGCTCGCCTTGGACCACGAGACGAGGTTCCTTGGCGGCAGTCCGTTCTGCACCTTTGGGATGCCGCTCCCTTTTGTGCAAGAGTCATTTGGCTTTGATGACGCCTGTGCGTCACAAATCCCGCTCGCGGTGTTGTAGCAACCCGTGGCCAGTGTGTTTGCGGTCCTTGCGGGGTATCCACCGACGCCGCAAGCCTGTGCGCTTGTGCCCAGCGGCGAAGAAGCGGCGTGCCACCGCGCCCGCGCCGCGACCTTGGCCGCGGCCGCCCACCTCGAAAACTTCGAAACCGCAGCTGCAGTCGTCGATCTCGATGACACTCTGTCCATTTTACAATTCGTCGTAGACCGCAACGGATCCCTATACCTAGAAGCGCAAGATCTGTTGACGGATGCGGATTTCCGCTTTTTCGGCGCCATGATGGTCCACGAGTGGGCCCTCACGCTGCGCGAAGCCATCGTGTTGCAAGGAGACAAGGGTGACATGGCTATCCTCTCGACGCGAACCGCGCTTGTAGAGAGCGTCGTGACCCCGCCATTAACGTCGCTGAGCATGTATCTCTGGCGCGCGGCCGCGACCACGTCCTTTGGCCTGGCCGCCCTCTTGATGCTCTTCCTCTCGCTGTGTGCCTACCACCGCCCGGTTGCCTCCAACTGGTTTTGCTGGCACCGTCTCGTGGGCGCGATCTGGCTCAGTCGCAGCGTCGTGCTCCTTCGCGCGCTCGCAGCGACCGTAGCGCTCATCACGACCGACATTGCACTTGCCTCGGCGTCCTCCAGCGTCCTTACAGTCGTCCCCAAACCTTTGTTCCCGACGTTTGTTTTGGCCAGTGAAGTGCTCTGGTTGGCCTACACTATCGTCGACATACTCGCACCGTGGACGGAGCCCTTTACGAGCGTATATGCCCCGCGGGCCTCGGTCACCGCCTGGGTGCTCATGGTTATCTACGCGCAGTGGGATGCGCTCACTGTCGCCGCCACCTTGCACCGATCGTGTTTCGTTGTCAACATGGACCAGCTCGTCGTTTGCACGAGCGGTAGCGTCGTCCTCGCCTCGGTGCGCTGGACGCTCAGTGTCGCTGACATCAATCTCGTGTGCATGAGTGGATTTGCGCTCGGACACTACTGGCACCGACGTCGACAGCTGCAGACTTTTGTGGCGCAGTGGTCGTCGTCGATGCACCAGGTGCCGTCGCTCGCACTGCCCACGACAGCCATCGCGTTTGTTCAGCCGCCGCCATCGACCAATGGCGACATGACACTCGACGCGGTCACCGCCGCCATGTGTGGGCTCTTCTACGTTCCGAATCGGTTCATTTTTGACGTTGAGCTCTGGCGCGTCTTCCCGCCGCTGCCGGCGATCGCAGGGCCCGGCGGCGGTCTCTGGCTCCCTCGCGCCCACGCGGTCACTGGCAACGCGGCAGCCCCCACATTAGAGCTGCTGCCACACCCGCCAAGAACCAAAGTCTGGCACATCTTTACCCACTTGGAGTCCCTCGCACAGGCCATGGGCTTTCTCTACTTGGGCGCGACCCTCTTTGGGAACGTGGCGTATCTGAGTGTCGTCCAGTCGAATCTCGCCAACGACTATGGCTGGGCGGGCTTCAACGCCACGGGCACATACGCTTTTCTCGGAAATCTCTTCAATCGACGGCTCCTGACCCACTCGTTTGACGATGGATTCACGCTGAACGACCCCGCTTTTGCCGACACTTCGCAGCTATACAACCTCAGCGTTGGCGCCATTCGCGTCAGTGGCCACGCCGCGCGGCGACAGCTCTTCTCACCTGACGTTGCACTGGAAGACGTCGTCGCCAACCTCCGGCGCATGGACCCGTGCCGCTTGCCGTGGATGTTTACGCAATACTGCTTTGTCGACCTTGGTCGGCGCTGGTCGCTCGCGAGCTCGTCTGCGCGGGAAGCGCGGTGCCGCTCGCGGTATGTGTCGAATGGCGCCGTCTACTTGGAGACGAGCCTTGGCAACGTCATGCGCTGGGACGACTGGACGCAGTGCTGGGGCACGTCGTTTGAGGTGGGCATTGCGACGGCGCTCGCAACGTCGGTCGATGGCCGCGACTGGCTCCGTGCGATTCAAAGCAATGCGAGAAGTTGCGTCGACGAAGCGGCCTACTGGCGCCAGGCCGGCGTCGCTGGGTTCACGCTGCAGTGGCAAAACTTCAAGACGACGGGCTTCTCGGATGCGTTCTACATTGAGAACGCACTGGGACTGCAGTATGCGCTGCCGCTGAGCAATACGCCAGGCGCGTACCACCTCACGCAGCAAAACTCGATACGCATGTACTGGAGCTTTGCCAGCGACCTCTGGGCCATTTCGAATAACGCGACACTGCTCGGGAGCGCCAGCCTCGTGCGCCAGAGTCCGATGTTCGCCTACGCCAACACGACGCCGATTGCGGTGTTGTTCCAGAACCTGACGCTCGTGCCGCCGTTGAACGCAGGCCTCGTGAGCTTGGAAACACATATCGGACCATTTGGCAACGTCGACATGATCTATGTGCCGGTGCCGTCGTCGCTCTCGGCGCTCTACGCCAACTTTACGGGCAGCCTCGCGCGTCTCTTGCTCGCCAACGAAAGTGCCACTCAGTGGTTCTTCCGCCTGCCCTACCGCACCTACTTGTACGAGTCGCTGCCAGGGTTAGGGCAGGACCCCAATGTGCGCACTGTTGGCGGCAACCTCATGTGTGGCAGTGACTGTCCAGCGTGGACGGCCATGTATGGGATCGATAGCTTCTTTGGCGTGCATAATCTTTGCCACGCCTTCTTCTCCGAAAAGCTGTCGCCAACCTCCACCAGCGTTTTGTTTTCTCTGCTTGGTCTCAACTCGACGCTGTCGCCCATGCCTCTTGACAGACGATCGACCATGGCTGCCGTGTGCACGTACGATGTCTACGCCACGCCATCCTGCATCGACGACTACCTCATGTACGATGCTTTTGCGTCAACTTATGAGCTCACATCAGTGGCCTCGCTGCTCGCTACCACCGTGGCTGACCTAACCTCGCTCAACATCTCGGCCGTGCAATGGCTGCAGCATGGCGCGTCACCCCTCTTCCTCTACATGACGCCGCTACTTGCAAGCGACGAGGTTTGGTCCTTCTATGGGTGGGGCTTCATCTACGAATGGGTGATCGGTCTACGCGAAGTCGTCGCATTTGATGGTGACGTTGGTCGCGTCACGACACTGTCGGCGTCGCAAGCACCGGCCCACTTCTCGCCCGAGAGCGCCGCAATTGCGCCGAGCTTCTCGCTCGCGTGCTTGGTGTGTGTGCAGTACATCACGCTGCTGCTCATCGTCATCTCCGTGCTGGTTGTGTGCACGGCGCTGCAGCAGCGCGGCCGCGTCGAGGCGCTCAACCTCTTGTACATCAACCGCATTGTCGGGCTTGTTTGGATCGGCCGACCCTTGCTCCTTGTCCGCAGTCTCACGGCGCTTTGGCTGTTGCACACGACGCCGCTCGAGCTCGTCCAGACGCACGGCGTTCTCACGTCGTTTGTGAGCCTGCCGCTGCTGTGGTACAAGGTGATTCTGGCCGGCGCCGAGCTCACGTGGAGTGTCTACATTCTCAACGACCTTTTGAGCTGCTTGACGCAGCAGTACACGGCGTTGTATGCACCAAAGAGCTCCAATCTCACGTGGGCCGCGGCCATTGTATGGACGTACATAGCACCGCAGCAGCACCGCGCATTTCTCCACCGACATTGCGTCGCGCACAATATGGACGATGCGCTGCAGTGCGTCAGCGGAGGCGTCGAGATTGGCAGCGTTGCCCGCGTCAGTGTCAGCATTGGCATTGGTATCCTAGCGATCGTGGTCTGCTGCATCTTTGAGGTGCTGCGCCGCCCGAACGTACCGCCCAACAGCGTCGGAACCCTCTTATTGAATGCGCAGAGCTACTACGTACTCGACTTTGGCCGCTGGACCTGGGAAGGGGACGTGTACTTGGACAAGATGTCTGCGATCATGGCCGGGATCCTTGCAGTGCAAGTCCGCGAGTCGCTGTACGTGTTTGACATCAAAACGTGGCGCCTCTTTCATCAACCGGTGGAGCCGCCGTCGCTCAAGCCTGCGCGGCTCCGTCAGGCCGTGCCACTCAGTCGCGTATAGCCCTAACCGTAAATACGTCCAACAGAGCTTCAACAAGGGTGGCCTATCGGTGCTAGCGATGCCATAAGTGCTGTGTACCCAAGTCCTGTACTCCTGTGTACTCTATGTGGTTGGGGAAAGTGGGGTTTCGGATTTTGTTAGCTTTTGATGCGCAAAGCATTAATCAAGTATGCACAATAGAGTATCGATTCAGTCAAATTAGGCTGCGACCATGGCCACGGACGTGGCACCGCTCGTGGCCTGGCGGTTGCCGACGGTGTTCTTGAGGTAGCAGACGCCGTCGGCCAGCGTGAACGCCGCACACGACGCTGTCTTCTTGCAGCCATCGCAGCACTGCGCTAGCATGGATGTAAAGTCGCCATAGGCCTTGAAGTTGGAGAGATCGTTGCCGAACAAGTCGGTGTTCCACTCGGGCGACCCGCAGGCGCGCGTGACCGGTGTCGGTGTCGGCGCCGATGCCTTGCGCGCTGACACGACGCCGGGCGCCACCTTGCGTCCGTCTGCCGACGACTTGAGGTAGCACGTTTCACCAGCGACCGAAAAGGCGTTGCAACGATCGTTCTTGGTGCACGCACTGCAGCAGACGCGAATCTGGTCGGCCTGGGGGCCCACGACATTGAGACTGCCGACGTCGTTGCCGTAGTAGTCGATGTTGGCTTCCGGCGCGCCACATGTGCTCGGTGTCGGGTCACTCGTCGTCGGCGTCGGTGTCGGGTTGCTGGACGTCGGCGTCGGGTTGCTGGGTGTCGGCGTCGGGTTGCTGGGTGTCGGCGTCGGCGTGCCCGGCTTGCCAAACTGCTGCGGAATCTCTGTGCACTTGCCCTCTGTCAACGCCACCGTCGCCGTGATCGTCTCGCCATTGAACGACGTCATCGTCACCGTCGTGTTGGACAACGGCACCTCCGGCTTTGGCTCGGCCTGGAAGTAATAGTTGGTGATCTCGGTCGCGTACCGAGCCGGCTTGCCGTTCACACTCATGCTCTGGACACCGCCGACCGTGTTGGTCGGCTGCACCGCGAGCCAGTACGGCGAGCTGCCCGACTTGGCGCAGACTTTGACGCCGCCAGCGACGGGGCAGTCGACAAACTCCCACGCAATTTGGAACCAGTCGGTCGTGGCGCCCGTGAGCTGTTGGAAGAAAGGATACGAGAACGTGAGGTCGCCCTTGGCACAGCCCGGACACGTGTTGGTGACTTGGCCGGTGACCTTTGGTGTGTCCTTGCAGCGAGCGTCGGTGCACTGGGCTTGGATGCAGCGGCCGCAGTGGATGCCTTGTTGGTACTGGTCGAGGTTCATGGCGACTTGGAATTGGCGCGCGGTCGGGAGGGCGTCCATGAGGCCGCAGTTGCCGCTGAAGACGTCAACGCCGTCAGCAGGGCCATACAGCGTGGCTTTGCCCTTGAATGACTCGGCCATGGAGAGACTGAGAAGCGCACTGAGTGGCAACACGATACGGACCATAATGTTACGGTGGTGTCTTGGAGGAAGTTGGAAAATGAAAGACAACCTTTGACGAGGCTTGTAGACAGGCTGCCGTGCAGAGAGGTACGTCGGTTTGCTAGTTCTTTGGTCGCGTATGAACTGCAAGGTGCAATGAAGTGCCTCCGTGTCGCGCGCACATGTCTCGCGACCGTAGACGCTATACAAGTCGAGTACCTTGCAGAGTACGCTAGGACGTATCAAGGTACTTTGCACGTGGTGTCGCCGACAGCCTCGCTTTGCCGACGAATTTTTGGCGCAGCTGGCCATTCTGAGCCGCACGTTCCGTCCGACCAAGATATACATGCGTGTCTATATGTCCTCTGGGAATGCATCTTTGACGAAGAATGTCGTATACCGAAACCGATAAACACGAACGGGGAGAAGCATCGAACCGAACGATGGAACGTCGTCGTTCGTTCGTTCTCGAAGACAAAAACTCCCAGTTCATTATTTTCAAGGGATTGATAATGATATTTCTACTCGTGTTCTGTAGAACGCCATATTTGCACAAAGGACGCGATCTACGCTCGCATTAGCAAAAAAGATACGCTTTGGCGGCGAAAATTTGTGGTTGGACGGGACATTCCGACCTCGTCCATTCCAACCAGACCCGGAAACAGCTGTTTTGGGTCTGGGCGGCGTGTCGAGAGCTCGTCGAGCTCGTCAGACTTGTGCCATTTCGTTTTGATAATAGCATGATAGTATACGTGCACATGAACACTTAGAATGGACGAATTAATTTTATTTGTTTTTCTGCGGAGCTGGCAAAGGCAATGGGAGCTGCTGAGTTGCTGGATCGAGTCCAATCAACGTCTACTTACATCGTGGTCATGGCCACGGACGTGGCGCCGTTCTTGGTCTGACGGTTGCCGACGGCGGACTTGAGGTAGCAGACGCCGTCGGACAGCGTCACAGCGGCACACTTTTCGTGGACCTTGCAGCCCTCGCAGCACTGCGCAAGCATCGCCGTGAACTCGCCTTGCGCCTTGAAGTTAGCCACATCATTCCCAAACATGTCCATGTTCCACTCGGGTGCACCGCACGCCCGAGCGACTGGTGTCGGTGCCGGGCTCACCGGCGCCACCGTCGGGGTTGGGCTCACGGACGACGGCTCAGGTGTC